CTTTCCTTTCTATTCCTCCCTCCCCATTTCTCTCCTTTTCTTCCTTCCTCCCTGTCTCTTTGTGTTCTCTCTATCCCCCCTCCCTTCTTCCCCATCTCCCTCCCTTCTTGCTCTCCCCCTCCTTCCCCCTTTCTCTTCCTTCCTCTCGCCTTTCCTATATCTTTCCATTATTTGCATACCTCCCTTCCTCTTTCTGTCTTCCTTTCTCTCTCTCTACTCCCTCCCTCCTTCCCTTCCTTCTAGAGCTTGAAGTATTCCCCCTACAACAGGCCTTCTTCCTATTCCACTACCCACCCCATTCCACTATCTTGGTAGACCTGCCCTCTGGAGAACAGGTCTACCCACCCCATTCCACTATATTGGTAGACCTGGCCTCTGGAGAACAGGTCAGAAGAAGAAGAAGAAGAAGAAGAAGAAGAAGAAGAAGAAGAAGAAGAAGAAGAAGAAGAAGAAGAAGAAGAAGAAGAAGAAGAAGAAGAAGAAGAAGAGATTGGATTTATACCCCGCCCTTCACTTGGAGTCTCAGAGCGGCTTACAAACTCCTTTCCCTTCCCCTCCCCACAACAGACACCCTGTGAGGTGGGTGGGGCTGAGAGAACTCTGACACAAACTGCTCTTTTTCAAGGACAGCTGTGCCAGAGCTTGTGACTGACCCAAGGTCACATCAGCAGGTGCGAGTGGAGGAGTGGGGAATCGAACCCGTTATCCCAGATTAGAGTCCGCGCACTTAACCACTACACCAAACTGGCTCAGAACAGGTCTACCCACCCCATAGGAATCAGGACCATTGTAGCAGTTAAGACAACGCGCAGTAGCTTGGCTGCCCAGCCGCAGGGCCCCACCCCCTTTCCAGTGCTCTTCGGCCACCTGAGTCCCTGGTGGGCCAAGGCCGCCAGAAGCCCCCCCAGCCGCCCGGGGGGCTGGTGGGCCCTACCGGGTGCTGTCGCTCCTCCCCCCTGCCAGAAGGCATGTCTGCCAATACAGTGGAAATGGGTGGGTATATCCTGTTCTCCAGAGGCCAGGTCTACCAATACAGTGGAATGGGGTGGGTAGACCTGTTCTCCAGAGGCCAGGTCTACCAATAAAGTGCAATGGGGGGTTTACCTGCTCTCCAGAGGGCAGGTCTTCCAGTATAGTGGAAGGGGGTAGGTAGATTTGTTCTCCAGAGGCCAGGTCTACCAATACAGTGGAATGGAGTGGGTTGGCCTGTTCTCCAGAGGCCAGGTCTCCAAATATAGTGGAATGGAGGGGGTTGACCTTTTCTTCAGAGGCCAGGTATACCAATATAGTGGAAGGGGGTGGGTAGACCTGTTCTCCAGAGGCCAGGTCTACCAATACGGTGGAATGGGGTGGGTAGACCTGTTCTCCAGAGGCCAGGTCTACCAATATAGTGGGATGGGGCAAGTAGACCTGTTCTCCAGAGGGCAGGTCAACCAAGATAGTGGAAGGGGGTGGGTAGACCTGTTCTCCAGAGCCAAGGCCTACCAATACAGTGGAATGGGGTGGGTAGACCTGATCTCCAGAGGGCAGATATAACAGATATAGTGAAAACGGGTGGCAAGCTGTTCTCCAGAGGGCAGGTCAACCATGATAGTGGAAGAGGGTGGGTAAACCTGTTCTCCACAGGCCAGGTCTACCAAGATAGTGGAATGGTGTGGGTATACCTGCCCTCCAGAGGTCAGGTCTACCAATACAGTGGAATATGCCACTATATTAGTAGACCTGCCCTCTGACATGTGGGAGGAACAACGCAACCCGCCTGGGCCCACTAGTCCCTCGGCCTGCTGGAGGGGACACTTCCAGTGGTCATTGCCTGCTGGGGATTCAGGTGGCCGAGGGGCACTGGGAAGGGGGTGGGGGGCTGTGGCTGGGTGGCCAAGCTAGTGCCCATTGTCTTCACTGCTACAACAAATCTGATTCCTAGTAAATAAATAAGGACAGTATAATGTATCCAATAAACAATGAAGTACAAAGGAGGAAAAAAAGTTCACAGGAAAGCAGAAAGGCTTAATGCAGGTGCAAGTGGAGGTGTGGGGAATCAAACCCGGTTCTCCCAGATTAGAGTCCGCACACTTAACCACTACACCAAACTGGCTATGCACCCAAGAATGCTCAAAGACTTTTCTAGAGACCTGGCAGAGCCTTTGTCCATCATCTTCCAGACCTCTTGGAGGATGGGAGACATGCCACAAGACTACATGAGTGCAGATGTTATCCCAATTTTTAAAAAAGGTGACTGGACTCTAGGTTAGTTAGATGGATATGAAACTGGTTGGATAACTGCACTGCCTAGGGAGGTGGTGAGCTCCCCCTCACTGGCAGTCTTGAAGCAGCGGCAGGACAAACACTTGTCAGGGAGGCTCTAGGCTGATCCTGCATTGAGCAGGGGGTTGGACTAGATGGCCTGTATGGCCCCTTTCAACTCTTTGATTCTATGCTTCTAAATTGTTAGTCAGGGGAAGCCTGAGTCATATTTAAATCACCATTATGCTTCTTTCATCTTTCTTTTCAGACATGGATGAGTGCTACACGTGTCCAGAAGATCAGTATCCAAGCAAGGATCAAGTTGGATGCATCTCTAAAGTTTTAATGTATCTGTCTTTTGAGGAACCTTTAGGGATCAGTTTGGCTTCACTTGCTGTTGCCTTATCCCTGATGGCAGCCTTAGTGCTGGGAATTTTCATTAAGCACAAAGATACCCCCATTGTTAAAGCCAACAACAGGGATATCACCTACACTCTCCTCATCTCCATCCTGTTCTGCTTCCTCTGCTCTTTTTTATTTCTTGGACAACCTATGAAGGTGACCTGTCTCCTTAGACAAGCCACTTTTGGCATCATCTTTACAGTGGCAGTTTCTTGTGTCTTGGCCAAAACTATCACTGTGGTTGTAGCTTTCATAGCTATCAAACCAGGGTCCAACATGAGGAAATGGGTGGGGAAAAGACTGGCCAGCTCTATTATTCTTTCCTGTTCCCTCCTTCAAGCAGCCATTTGTATGGTGTGGCTAGGAACCTCTCCCCCTTTCCCAGATTTTGACACTCAGTCACTCACTGTAGAAATCATAGCAGAATGTAATGAAGGGTCTGTCACCATGTTTTACATTGTCCTAGGCTATGTAGGACTTCTATCCATCTTAAGCTTGATTGTGGCATTCCTTGCCAGGAAGTTGCCAGATAGTTTTAATGAAGCCAAGTTTATCACTTTCAGCATGCTGATTTTTGGCAGTGTTTGGGTGTCTTTTGTTCCAACCTACCTGAGCACAAAAGGGAAATATATGGTGTCTGTGGAGATCTTCTCTATCTTGGCCTCCAGTGCTGGGCTACTGGCATGTATATTTTCCCCCAAGTGCTACATGATTGTGCTGAGGCCTGAACTGAACACAAAAGATCACCTAATGGGGAAAAACTAAGAATCATGTGTGCATGTGTCTTGTGTGCATGTGAGTTGGAGAATTTGTGTTTGTAGGCAGAGAAGGAAATAGAGAACCAGAAACTGAAGATGTGGGAGGAGCAGAAGGAGAAGAGGGAAAGTAGTGGAAAGAGAAGGAGGAGAAGCAGAAACCCAACCTCAAGATGATGTCCTGCAGATCCGAGCAAAACAAGAAAATACAAGTTACCCCCAAAGTTTTTGTTCCCTACAAGGAGGGGGAAGACCCTTCAGCATATCTTTCAAATTTTGAGAAAGAAGCTGTTCAGTGGGGGATTGCAGAGACAGACAAAGTGTCCTATATTTGTAGCATTCAAACTGGGGAGCTAGCTCCTATCTACAATAGCATGCCTAGGGTGGAGGAGGGAGTTACTTTTAAAAGGCTCAAACTGGGGGCTGATTACTGTTGAAAGCAGTTCCAGGGCTTATCCCCACAGCAATGCAAAACCTATTTGGAGCACAAGTGAGAGGGGGAGGAGATAGACAAAAGAGCAAAAGCTGGGGACTTTGAGGCTTTATTCCATTTAGTGGTGCTAGACCAACTTTATTCCAAACTCCCTAAGGAGCTAAAATGTCTGGTAAGGGACAAAAAGCCCAAAGATGTGGAGGCATGGTGATGCCAAGCAAGATAATAGTCATCTGATCTTTCAGTTCTGCTTCCCTCCCTCTTCCTGGGCTATCTAACAAACAAAAACTACCATATGACTTCCTTAATTATGGGCAAGAACAATGAGGCTTCCTCAAGCGTACTCCAAATGACAACTAAATCCTCACTGGCTTTCTTTTCCCTGTGGGAAACGCATACCAACCCAAAAGCTCTTGGCACTGAAAAATCCATAATGGTGGACGACTCTTCCCTTTTGCCCCTCCTTGAGACAGCATTAAACAGGATTTAACAGCTTCACTCAAAAAGTTGGAGAGACAAATTGGGGAACAAATGTAACATACCATTCAGCTGGTAAGGGCTCAACAATGAAGTACAAGCTTCTCTGGCACAAACCTCAAAAACAGCAGAGATAGCTCTTAATCTCGGAATGACCCTAAAAGATTGTGTGTAGACCTGCAGGCTTTTGAAATGCAATCCTGTGACCAGCTGCTTTGTTAGAAAAATCAAGTCAAATAACTTAATTTAAATTTTAGAGTGCTGAGGAATCCATGGACCCTATTTGTTTTACTTCAAACTGGCTTTCCTCCATTTTGCATCTCTAGCCTGGTGCAGCACCAGCCATTTTGAAGGCATACCAATTGGGGCCTCCAATGAATCCAGGGTGCACAAGTCCTAGAAACCTTTTAGTGCAATTTTCAGAGTGGAGTGAGGAATCCATGGACCCTATTTGTTTTACTTCAAACTGGCTTTCCTCCATTTTGCATCTCTAGCCTGGTGCAGCACCAGCCATTTTGAAGGCATACCAATTGGGGCCTCCAATGAATCCAGGGTGCACAAGTCCTAGAAACCTTTTAGTGCAATTTTCAGAGTGGAGATTTAAAAAAAAGATACAAGATGAGGCGAAATCCCAAGGATATATTTTATTCAAAGATTTACACATCCCCTAAGAAGATAATCAGATAATACTGAAGTCCAGTTTTGAACATCTTCTGGTGATGTATCCAGATTCCTTGAAGAGTCTGCTCGCCAAAATCTACATGATCATAATAGAAACTGATAGTGAGTTTGGTCTGCAATTTCAGAACTCTTAGCAATGCAATCTTCAAACAGATTTACAATGCCCCCAATGGCTGTCCATCCAGAGTTCTTCTGCAAACACATCTAGGGTCTTTAACATCCACCTGCAGTCCTTTAAACTTACACCCCAAAAAGAGTGAGCCAAATGAATCTGAAATTTAGCCCCCATGTTAGAAAAATTAGGCTTCACTAGCAGTTACTTTCACTGCTGGTGGGATTGCCCATTCATACAACGATTTTAAAGAGAGATTATGACAGAAATTAGCAAGATCATGTTGCACGTGCTTCCAGTTACGCCAACTAGGGTTTTTGCTAATATCACCATTACTTCCTTTCTTCCTAAAGAAAAGCATACAGGATCTACAGTGACTGACAAAAAGGCTTATGTCCACAAGCCACCATCTCCAAGTGTTGATATGCGCTCTAAATGTAACTTAACTGGAACATGTATGGACATTGATAACAATAGAGGCTGCTTTTATCTGGAAAACTCAATTGAAGGGGATTTAATCAAATCCTTTCCAAAGATGCCTGAAGAGGGACAAATAGACATTATATCAAGATTGGACTGGCTAAAAACCGAACTGGAAAGCAAAGGAAAATGAGACACCTCAAAGACTTCCTTTTGTCACAGAAATCGATTATGTGGCACCAAATTCAAATGCGGCAGTTGAAATCCCCTTAATCAGACAACTAGAGGGAAAATGTAGCAAATTACAAGCATTGGAAAAAACTTGTCCAAGTAATTTCCAATTTACTAATTAAAAAAAGCTCAAAGATGCCACTGAGGCATCAGAAATTGTGGATGAGCTGGTACTAAACAGGGAGGGGTTGGACTGGAGGACTTCCCAGTTGGGAAGAGAAGGGAAAGGGTTCCAGAGGGGTGGGAAGGTGGATTCTCAACCCAAAAGGGAAGGAACAAGTGGTCACAAAAATACAAAAATATACAACCGTGAGCACTTACTAAGCAATGTTCCCTCCAAGCTGTGGAGTCTTGTGAGCAAAAATTCTAATTCGTGAACTACTGGCATTAAAGCTGTGTGCGATTGAAATGGCTACCGCATAAATTAGTTTGCTCTGGAGCTTACAATATATCAGCTTAGAGGGAACACTGTTACTAAGTAATAACCAGCTACAAATTATGATGATGAAGGTAAAATAATTCCCTGCCCCCATCGCAGGGAAGGCATCAATGGGAGGGATGCTTTAGGAGCTGCTACCACCACTGGACAAATCATGCTGTAGATCCCTTGTCAGGCAAGGAAATCCTTTAGTACCCCATTGGGATTAACTATGCTGCCTAGTACCTATCAGATGAAGTCTAAAAGGAACACGAAATGTGAAAGCTAAATGTATTATGAAGTCCGAGGGCCAGGGACCATATCCTTCTGGGGAGGAGCCATCTTTTCAGAGATGAGGCCACACACCACAACAGTGAAGCTTGAACTTTTATGGCTTGGTTCCTTTACATTGCCAACTCCAGAGGTCAACCAACACCTGGTGGTCCAGCCAGCCTACAACTCATCACTTCTACCTCTACTCACTGTCAGGACCACTTTCCATTCCTGGGTCTTCCACGCATTTCCTTGGGCTCCTGCTCTGGCCACTACTCACTTCCTGCTGCTTTATGCCAGGACATAGCCTGTCTGCCTGGGTCAGGTGTGCAAAGTTCCGCTAGCCTGTCCTTGACCCAGGAGTGTCATTTTTCCTGTCTGCAGTGGCCCCCAAACTGCCTCACCACAGCCTTCTCTCAGAGGACATAGCCTGTCTGCCTGGGTCAGGTGTGCAAAGTTCCGCTAGCCTGTCCTTGACCCAGGAGTGTCATTTTTCCTGTCTGCAGTGGCCCCCAAACTGCCTCACCACAGCCTTCTCTCAGCCTTCAGTCAGCTTCCCTATTACTGTTTTCAGATGGAGCCTTTTATCTCCCTCTAGCTGGCCACTCCTGTGTCCTGTTTCCCTGTTGCTACCCTCAAGTAAGCCCTTCTTCTCATGGGGCATTTACCTGAGAGGAGTCTTGTTTCCCTGCTCCAAATCTCAAGCCAACCATGGGTGTGGTTTTTTTCCCCTCTCAAGGAGTCCTTTACTCCAAAGGTGTCCTATGCTCCACAGGGAGCTAATACTGGCGGACTTTTCTTCTGATTCCTTCTCCCTTGCTATGTCTGCCCCACCGGGCTCTCTTCTCACCTCTGCCACTGGTCTGTTGCCCTCCTTCAGGCCATGCCCCAGTTCCATCCCTTCTCTCCCAGAGGTAAGAGGTCCTGGGCTGTGCCGTATATACAAAGTCAATAGAGTACAAGAGATACAGCAGAAATTTATGTATGCCCACTGTTCTCAATGTGAAAGGCACACATTCATCCTATCATTGTGACTGTCACCATGAAAAGGAGAACTACCTAATTAGAGGAAGACATAGGTGCTTCTGCTGCCGTATAGGAGAAGGAGCAGTCAAGGAACTAGCCAAAGGTAACTCAAGCATCCAGTTGGAGTTTACAACAGCAGGATTAGACCTTGATCTCAGAAACCTAGGTGTGAATCCCTACTCTGCTATAGAAACATGCAGGGTGATCCTGGGCCAGGCATTCGAACTCGGCCTGATCCACCTCACAGGGCTGTTGTGAGAAGAAAAATGGGGGAGAGAAGAATGATGTAAGCCACTTTGGGTAGAAACATGGGATATAAATAAATAAATGTTTACAAGTTTATAAAATATTATTATTTTCATCCAGGACCCAAATAAGATCAAACAAATCAGACATCTAGAATGATAAAAGGCTTGGAACACTTTCCCTATGAAGAAAGGTTAAAGCACTTAGGGCTCTTTAGCTTGGAGAAATGAAGGCTGAGGGGTGACATGATCGAGGTTTATAAGATTATGCATGGGATAGAGCAGGTTGAGAAAGAAGCACTTTTCTCCCTTTCTCACAATACAAGAACTCATAGGCACTCAATGAAATTGCTGAGCGGTCGGTTTAGAATGGATAAAAGGAAGTCCTTCTTCACCCAAAGAGTGATTAACACATGGAATTCACTGCCACAGGAGGTGGTGGCGGCTACAAGCATGGATGGCTTCAAGAGGGAATTAGATAAGCATATGGAGCAGAAGTCCATCAGTGGCTATTAGCCACAAGGTATAGATAGGAACTCTCAGGCTGGGGCAAATGATGCTCTGTATTCTTGGTGCTTGGGGGGGCAACAGTGAGAGGGCTTCTAATGTCCTGGCCCCACTGCTGGACCTCCTGATGGCACCTGGTATTTTTTGCCACCGTGTAACATAATGTTGGACTGGATGGGCCATTGGACTGATCCAACATTGGCTTCTCTTATGTTCTTACATACAACTAACACCAGATCAGAAATCAGATTAATAGCAGACACAAGTGGTATCAGCCAGGGGATCTTCTAATCCTCATTTGCACCCTCAGCCCTACCCTCCCATGTACTAAACAACACCTAGTGTGGGAGTGGTTGCATGTTTGATGTCTACTTCAGTGACATGCATTGTGAGATTAGATTGCTTCTTCCTTTAAGATCCCTAGCAATTAGCCTTTCTTTTGACTACAAGCAATCACCCGTAAAGCGTATTTGCCATAGTACCATGTCCAATCATCAAAACCGAAGTCCTTGTGTTCCCCCTCAAAGGCTGCGATTACACACAATTAATCCACTTCCAACCCAGTTTCAATGACTTTCCAACTGGATTTTGCCAGTTCACACAGTAAAATCCAGTTGGAAAGTGAATTGAAAGTGGATTATTTAGTGTGTGTGATAGCAGCAAGACTTTATCTTTGGGGTCTAATTTCCCTCCTAGTGTTTGCTCAGAAGAAAATCTGTGACCTATTGCTGTTCTGCCAAGCAGCAGAGTAGACACAGAGGCAAATCTGGAAAAAAGCACATTCAGGGCCGAAGATGCCACTTAATTGCCTCTGCTAATTTTGCTCTCTCTTCTGTGTAATTATCAAAATCACTGAAATTTATTTCTCCTGCCCAAGTGACGGTGAGAGAGTGAGCTAGAAAGCAAGGTCTGTGTAAGGCTTCAGGTGGTTATACAAAAGAACCATTTTGTCCTTGAAAACTGGGAAGAGGGTGTGTGTCAGGTGATCTCTGTCACATCTCCCTTCCCATGTGAGAAAGCAGACTTCAGTTCATTGTACTGAGAATCTCTGATGGCCGTATGAGGCGTGCATTTTTAGCCTCTGAACCCTGGACTGATCGCTTCCCTTTCTGCAAGGGTAGTGGCCATCAGGTGCCATATGCAGCAGCTTCTTGATGAACTCAGGGGAGTCTGTATCTAGTCAGAAGTTTTGCAGCAGGATGTTGGTGCTAGTGCTGTTGCAGCTTCTCTTTACTCCTGTGGTGTGCAAAGGTTTCATCCATTGCCCTGAGAGTGATCCTCTCCATGTCCCACACAAGTGGTACCAGTCTGGGGATCTCCTAATTAGTGGGATGATGTCTCAGATGATCTATGTTCCTTTCAAGCATTCTTTTGAGAAACATCCTTCGAGGGACCTGTTTTATTCTTCTCTGTAAGGAAACTTTTGTTACTGTCATTGGGAATCTCTCAGCAACACTTTTTAAAGAATTTATGGCGAATTAACAGAGACATTAGGAGGCTATCTCTGAATAATTAGGGTCCACTAGGGGAGCATCAGGGGCCGTGGTGGCTCAGAGGTTAAGACACTGAGCTGCAGACCGGAAGGTCTGTAGTTCAGCAGTTCGAGACCAGAATGCTGCGTGACAGAGTGAGCTCCTGTCTCTGGCCCCAGCTCCTGCTAACCTAGCAGTTTGAATGTAAGAAATTGCAAGGAGATAAATAGGCACCACTTCAGTGGGAAGGTAACAGTATTCCGCGTGCCTCAGCATTTAGTCATGCTGGCCCCATAACCACAGAAATGTCTTTGGACAGTGCTGGCTCTTTGGCTTGGAAAAAGAAATCCCCCCCCCCCCCCGAGTCAGATTCGACTAGCTTTCGAGCAAGGGAAACCTTTACCTTTACCTTTTTAGGGGATCATCAGCAAATTATTTAGCAATTATATTTTAGATCACAATGGGAAACTTGATATGAGCCCTTGAGGGGGCACACCCAGGACTGGAGTATCACACGTCCTGAAAGAAAGCAGCAAAGGCAGTGAATGAATGCATAAAAAGGGCAATAAACAAGAGGAACGCAGAAGATGTAATTATGGTAGAAAAATGTTATTGCTCAAATTTTGACAAGCAAACAAATTGAGCCTTGCTTTCTTTTTATTGTGAAATAAAAGAAACCACTTACAATGGCATGGTTCCAGAGGTATAAATGGATATGAGTTCCTTCCTGTTCTCCTAGCCCAGGTGGTGTGAGCCCTTCACGGCTTCAAGAGTTTTCGTTGGTTATATGTGCTAGAACTGGAGGAAGAAACTTTTGCTCTCATTTGATTCTAGCTCTTCATCCCCACGCTGATACTTTCAGCCTCTAAACAGTCGAGCTCTTTAAAACTTTGCAGTCCTCTGTATGGGGAGGGAGTAATCAAAGACTAGGGTGCACATCTCATGGCACGTAAATCATCACCCATTCCCCCCTCCTCTAGACCACTAGAAAATATTCTCAAATACTCTCAGCCGCCCTGAGCCCGTTCGAGCCGCCCTGAGCCCGTTCGTGGGGAGGGCGGGGTATAAATGTGATAAAATAAATAAATAATAAATAAATGTGGCTTACGACTTTCTCTCTGGTTTTTTGTGCGGCCAGGAGGTAGAATGTAGTGAGTTGATAAAGAAAGTGTCTTCATGGAACCTTTGATCGTGGCTCTTTATAATTATGAGTACTGCCTGTTTGAATTATACTATATGTTTATAAATACTTAAAAATGAAAAAAAATGCACTTGTTCAACATAAACTGAGGTAAATTCCATTAATTTTAATTTGGGGAAGAGGAAGAAGAAGAAGAGGAGATTGGATTTATACCCCACCCTTCACTACCCGAAGGAGTCTCAGAGTGACTTACAATCTCCCTTTCCTTCTCCTTCCCACAGCAGACACCCTGTGAGGTAGGAAGGGGCTGAGAGAGCTCTGAGAGAACTGCTCTTTCAAGAACAGCTCCAAGAGAACTGTGACTGCCTCAAGGTCATGCCAGCAGCTGCATGTGGAGGAGTGAGGAATCAAACCTGGTTCTCCCGGATTAGAGTTCATGCTCCTAACCACTACACGAAACTGGTAGACTATAGTTAATTTGAAAATGTGCTCCCCCCAGTTCAAAAACTTCTATGCAGTGACTGAAGGACAAACTTTCTCAACCACCAATTTTCTGTTTTCTTTGACTGAGGCTCAGCTAACCTCAGAATTCCAAGACTGTGATAGGGAGTAGACAATGAAATTCTTTAAAATAATTTCTTTCTTTAAAATGATTTCTATTGGATATATCTGAGTACGATTCTGAAAATAGACCTGTTTAGGATGACACTAGGTATTGATTTATTTTTTTTGCCCACCCCAACAACAACAAAATCTTTTCTGCTTTGGTCTATCCTTATTAGGATCCATGGTTCTATATTACAACCCTTTGCATTATTTTTGACTTGAATTTACTGCTCATGGTCCAGTTGCATTTGGCAGAACTGGAAAGACAGAATATAAATATCTCAGAAACTGTCAGCTTTATGTATCCTTGAATTTATGGCATGAAAACCATCTCCCTCCTTACCTGTGTAATATTTAGGTTTCCTAAAACTTTAGGTTTAGGGACAGAAGGTTTAGGGACAGGATGGATTTTTCTTGTTTATTAAAGCATTTTAATGGAATTCTGGGCTGTGAATACCTTGAAAAATTTAGCTGAAGTAAAAAATACTGTACCAGTCATTATGCATTTTTTATTAGCTGCAATCCACTTGTACATTGGTTGACAGGTGAGGATGCATAGAATGTAATGACATGGAGTGGGGACTATGAAGTAGAGGAAATAATAATGATCTCTGCAGTTCTACTATACTGTGAGCTGAGTTTCTGATATCCTGACAAATATCTAGCAACATATTTAGAGAATGTCCTTAGTTTACTTTGTCACAAAAGTCATTTGGGGGGGGATAAATGAAGATCAATAAAAAGGAGTTCAGGGAAATCTTCTCCCAATATTTTGTAGTTTCCATAGCCTAGGTGTTTTGATGCATCATGAATATTACTTGCACTAAAGGGGGAGTTGTATACCTCGAGAGCTACACAAGAGTTACACAAGAGAAACATGAGAGTTAGGGTCCATGACTCAACGGTAGAGCATCTGCTTGGCATGCAGATGATCCCAGGTTCAATCCCTGGCATCTCCAGTTAAAAGGACCAGGCAGTAGGTGATGTGAAAGGCTGCTTGAAACTTTGGAGAGCCACTGCCAGTCTGAGTAGATAGTAAATAGTACTAAGTAGATGTCTTACTGATAGAAAAATGAAATAACAAGAACCCGATTCAATAACTTCATGCCATGTGAAATATGTTTGTGAAACCCTATGAAACTCTATTTGCAGTATGCTGACAAAGTTCTACCAGCATAGCCTTGCCCTGGTCTTTGCCATAAATGAGATCAATTCCAATACCAAGATCTTGCCCAATGTCACTCTTGGATTCCGCATCTATGACAGCTACTATTATGAGAAGATGACCTATCGTACCACTCTGGACCTGCTCTTCAAATCACATAGATTAGTTCCTAACTACATGTGCTCAGCCTCAAAAAATCGAATTGCTGTGATCGGAGGACTTGGCTCTGATACCTCAATCTTTATTTCGGACATTTTAAGTCTCTACAAGATTCCACAGGTAGGACCTATGCATAAATTAATAAATAAATAATAAATAGGTGGCTGGCTTTTCACAAGCTGAATCCATTATTCTCTCGTCACTCCCTTTCTAACATCAGCGTTCTGTTTCAGAAACAGAATGAAGTTTGATTAGATGTTCTACAGAATTTATAGAATTAAAACTTAGATTGTCTTCAGATGGGGGGGGGAGAAAGGGAAGGTAGACACCTTGCCATGACTGTTTCCCAGAAATGCCATGTTATTCTCACATGTCAATTTGTAGGATACTTGAGTCACAGTTTTGCAGATACAAATCTGAATTTGAGACTGACTGCTGAAGAGAGGTCAGAACTAACACTCAGTCCTTCTTATCTAACTGTAAAAAATATTCTATATTTCTTTTAGTTCTCATATGGGTCCTTTGCTTCAGAACAGAGGGAAACAGAACACCTTCCCTTTTCGTACCATGTGGCCACTAAAGAAACCCATCAGTACACGGGGATTGTCTGGTTACTCCAGCATTTTGGATGGACATGGGTTGGACTATTTGTGGTGGATGATGACAATGGAGAACATTTCATAAACAATCTGGAACGGTTGTTTTCCCAGCATGAAATCTGTCTGGCCTTCATACAACAAATACCACAAAAAAACCGTTTTAATGAAATGACTGAAATAACCAACATGTTTTCAAAAATTTATCAATTTCTCAAATTGAGCAAAGCCAGTATATGTGTTATCTATGGAGATAATCGGACCATGACATTATTGATCACCATAGTATGTTCATTAAATGATGACTATAAGGAACTAAAATCTATTGGAAAGGTGTGGATTACAACAAGCCAGATTGATTTTGCTGTATCACGACTTGAGAGAGGTTTAGATCTAACTGTTTTCCATGGTTCCATTTCCTTGACAATTCACACGCAGGAGCTTCTAGATTTTGAGAAATTTCTCCATGTCATAAAACCTTACAGTACCGTTGAGAATAAATTTGTCAAAGCCTTCTGGAAAGAAGCATTTGAGTGTGCATTTCCAGATTCTTTGGTTACGAATACATGTACTGGAAAGGAGAGGCTGGAAAATCTTCCTGACACTGTTTTTGAAATGCATATGACTGGCCACAGCTATGGCATCTACAATGCAGTCTATGCTGTTGCACATGCTTTGCATGCCATGTACTCATCTCAATACAATTACCAATCAGTTTTTGGATGCAAAAGTCCTGAATTTCATGATCCCCAGCCTTGGCAGGTAACAGCTGTACAATGTGTGTCTTGGCAAAGGGGGAATAATTTGCTAGCTGGGGATAAGATGCTTTTAGACTTTCATGTTCAGGTAGTATTAATATATTCCATCTTTACTGTTGTAATGTTAGACTTTTTATCTCTGTGATAGTCAATCATTCAACTGTATTTTATACTGTTGTTTTAGAACTGGGGACCTGAGTCATCCTGAGACAAATACATAGGAAGTAGTTTGTTATCTTTAGTTGTTGTAGATTTTCCGGGCTGTATGGCCATGGTCTTGGCATCTGTGACTGGCATCCTCAGAGGTATAACAGAGAAAGATGGAGTACTCTCTGTATCAAGGTGAGGAGAAAAATGGTAGGCAGGTAATTTATATCTACTCAGGAAGACTTCAAAAACATAGTTTCTTATCATTGATATGACAGGTCTAAGATGCAGTGCGCTGTCCCTCCAGTTCTTCTTCTTCTTTTAAATAGCTCCACCAGTTTCTCCAAGGAATTTCATTTAACAACTCGGCCGGAGAAACACTGTCACTTCATGAGAGCAGGGAAATGGGAATGGGGTTTGACATCGTGAATATGGTCACCTTTCCAAATTACTCCATCATTAGAATGAAGGTTGGAAGAGTGGATCCCAAATCTCCTGAAGGGAAGGAAGTCACTCTTCATGAGGATTTACTTGTGTGGCACCAGGGCTTTAACCAGGTATGGACTTCAAAGTATTCTTGAGGATAGCTTTATTCCGTTGGTTGCTTTGTCATATGGGTAAGCATCATCATCCTTTGCAGCATAATCAGACACCTCATGGTTGATTAATTCCTGTAATGGTCTCAGTGGCCCATTCTGCATCTAGTATTTGCTCCGTTGTTTTACCAAACCCACATTGGAACAGAAATTCCCCTCCGCATTGCATGCCACTTTCACTTTCTTTTGTTGTTGGGTTTTATTGTACCCTCCACACTGCATGCTGCTTTCACTTCCTTTGATCTCTCGGTTTTTATGGTACTGTCTGCATGGATTTATGGCTGTTTTATGGCTGTTCAGGGGTGACTCTGCAGTCAGTATGGCATTGGCCCGGGGTATTTGAATGTGGTTTTGAGCTGCATCTTTTTCTGTTCCATTGTGGGTTTGGTAAAACAACAGAGCAAATGCTAGATGCAGAATGGGCCAATGCCACCTCTAGGAAGCAGATGCTAAATGGAAGTGTAAGAGTAAGGTGTCGATATTCCCCATTCCTACCCATGCAGTGATTAATGAGTTATTAAGATTAGTTTTATCATTAGACCTTAAAATACACTTATTGATAATTCTCAAGGGATCCATAGCCAAGGAAAAAGTTGAACTTTCCATGTGACAGCAGCTAATGCAATAGTGCGGGCAGAATGGCAGAAATCTTTTGGAATGTCAAAATTACAGGGCTGGATTGTAACAGTGTGATCTTGAGGAAACACGGTTCCTCCGCCTGTGGAGCTGACAGGCACTTGCAGGTGGGGTCTGCATTGCCACCCCCGGAAGGGGAGAAGTAATGGTGTGCAACGTAAGTGTTGCTGTGTTAAGGGCGGGGCCAGGGAGCCTTTAAAGGCTGCCCCCATAGCATCCTCTTTAACCTCATCCACAGCCAGCAGTGAAGTCTTTGGCTGGTTGCTGCCTTTCGGGACCAGGTAGGAATTTATTTGCCCTCCTTGTTATTGACATGGCAAGAGGGGGTGTTTTTCACCTACCTTGAACTGTACAGTAGATTGGATAGTGTCATGGGTGTGGAGCTGTGAGTAGGTTCGGTCACTTGGCAGGTTGGTGCAGAAAGGGGAAAATGGATACTGTGAACACCAGAGAGTGCCTCCCCTGTTTGGGGGGTCAAGGGGCCCATCAATATTTAGCTGTAGGTTTTGTGCCTAGGGTGGGGAAACTGGATTGCCTTCAGAGCTGTCCTGGAAGGATTTGTCTCTTCAAAGTTATGCAACAGTGGGGGGGGGGGGCTCTACATGGTGGTTCATGTTTGGCCATGCTGGCCAGGGGCAAACCAAGGGTTTGGCTCACATTCAGGGCACAGGTGGCGTGCCCAGGATAAGGCAAGGAGGTGGTTGGGGGCCCAGCACCTGCCTTGTCTGATTCCCGCACTCAGAGGTTTACACTTGCTGCAGAAAAGTGTAAATATCCAATAAAGTAGCCTTTAGCTAATCCCAATTCCATGTCTGCCTCGTTATTCCACCTGGGGCAAGAGCCATAACCTTCTAGGTCAATTGACTTCAATTGATTTAGAAGGGTTTGACTCTGGTTAGGATTATATTGCAAATCTCTAATACTTTGAAAAGGTGGACCTAATACATCTGGCTAAAAGAAGGCAAAAAACAAAACTAACAGTATTCCTTTTATTCTGTCATATATAATCTGCTTCTTTTCTCCCAAATGGGGTCTTTTTTACCTTACTTTGTCTTTGTCTTTAATTTTGTTACTTTCTACTATTGTAATTCTAATGTTATTAGTATATTAATTTAAATTTTTAAATTTAATAATACTGATATTTAATTAATGCTGTTTTTACTTAACTTTCCTTACATTGTTAGAATTCCTTCTCTGTTATGCTTTAATCTGACCTAATGCTTTGCCCCTTACTAATAAATCCACTTCTGTAGATGCAACACTTCACACATCTTGAAATGTGGGCTCTAGCCGTTAAATTAACCTATGAGAAATCCTTTAGACTTCAAGTTGTCACGAGACTCTCTCTTCTTTATCTGTAGGTGCTCCCTGTTTCTAGATGTAGTGACTCCTGTCAACCTGGTTATCAGAAAAGAAAGAAAGAAGGGGAGCAGTTTTGCTGCTATGAATGGGCTCCTTGCCCAAAAGGGAAAATTTCAATCCAGAAGGGTAGGTGACAGAGATTTTCCCAAGAAGCCTGCAAACAGACAAACACACCCTTATACTCTTACTCTTGAAAAAGGTAATAGTCGGCATTGAGACAAATGGCATAGTTTGGAGATGACTGGTAGAACACACACTTGTTATGCATGAAAAACACCCCAGTTCAGTCATTGACATCTGCATTCAAAACAATATCAAGCAACATAGTTAGGGAAAATCTTTTATCTTTAACAAATAATAAAACATTATTTAAGTGTTTTTCATAGGTAATACTCCCTAGCAAATAAGAAGTTACTGGAATTCAACATTTGTAATATATCACATACTGAACAGGGTCACCAGAATTAGCCCTTAGTTACATATGAATGGCTATTGAGATGGTCGCTCTTCCTTTTTTCAGACATGAATGACTGTTCTACATGTCCAGAAGATCAGTATCCAAGTCATGATCAAGATCACTGTATTCCCAAGATGATCAACTTTCTCTCCTATAAAGAACCAATGGGGATCTGTTTGGCTTCAGTTGCTGTTTCTTTCTCCCTTATTACAGTCTTGATACTAAGAACTTTTATTAAGCACAAAGATACTCCCATAGTCAAAGCCAACAACCAGGATGTCACCTATGTTCTCCACATCACTCTCTTTCTTTGCTTCCTCTGTTCATTCCTCTTCCTGGGAAGACCAAGCAAATTGACTTGCTACCTCCGACAGTCTGCTTTTGGCATCATTTTCTCTGTGGCTGTTTCGTGTATCTTGTCCAAAACCACCACTGTGGTTTTAGCTTTCATGGCCATCAAGCCAGGGTCCAGCATGAGGAAGTGGGTGGGGAAAACTCTTACCAGTTCTCTTGTCTTTACCTGCTCCATTATCCAAGTGTGTATTTGTGTGGTGTGGCTAGGAACCTCTCCCCCATTCCCAGATTTTGACACAAAGACAATGACTGAAGAGATAGTGGCAGAATGCAATGAAGGGTCTGTGGTTATGTTTTATATTCTTCTAGGCTACATGGGACTTCTGTCCTTTATAAGCTTCACTGTGGCTTTCTTTGCCAGGAAGTTGCCTGACAGTTTTAATAAAGCCAAGTTCATCACCTTCAGCATGCTGATGTTTTGCAGTGTTTGGTTGTGTTTTGTTCCATCATACCTGAGCACCAAAGGAAAATACATGGTGGCAGTAGAGATTTTCTCAATCTTGGCCTCTGCTGCCGGGTTACTGTGTTGTATCTTTTCCCCCAAATGCTATATTATACTTCTGAGGCCTGATCTGAACAAAAGAGAACAAATAATAGCAAGAAAACATTAAAAAAACTGAGTTATCCCATGCTTTCCCCCCTGTGGAACAAAGACAATTTGTCTAATTGGGGACATAGGGTTCCCAGTCCCCAGGTCCGGGTGGGGTTTTTCCCACTTCTGGGGGCTTCAATCTGCCCCAGTCAGTTGGTCAGCGGGGGAAGCCCCGTGCCCAAGTTCCACCCCACAGGTTGACCACCCACCCGGCCACCCTTCCCCCTCCTCTCCTGCCTGATCGAAAGGGCTTCAGCTGCTCAGCAGGTACCATGTGGATTTCCGACAATACCTTCAGAACAAGACTTAATAATGAAGATTATGGAAAGTGCGGAAATTCATAAATTGACTTTGATGCTAAGAGGGCAAATGGAAGAAGATTTCTTCGGATTATGGACTCCTTTTTAATGACTGGATAAAAAAGAAACATAAAGATGTGAATATTTTGATAATATGATATGAAGGAGCATCTATGAACTCTTAAAAATTCGCTGTCTATCTTTTGATAATTTGAAATGATAAGTGGAAAAGATCTGTATGCAGAAGACTTTGTGTTTTTGTTTCCTTTTTCTTCCCTATCCCTTTATAACTTTAGCAATTTAATAAAGTGTATTAAAAATAAATCTAGCAGGAGAGAGGGAGAGGAGTGGTCGCAGGCCACATGGTTGGCTTGCAAAAACACCCTTTCCTTTTGCAAACAGATTGAAATGAATCAAATCTAGGACCTTCCCATGCTGTGTGGCTAGGAACCTCTCCCCCATTCCCAGATTTTGACACAAAGACAATGACTGAAGAGATAGTGGCAGAATGCAATGAAGGGTCTGTGGTTATGTTTTATATTCTTCTAGGCTACATGGGACTTCTGTCCTTTATAAGCTTCACTGTGGCTTTCTTTGCCAGGAAGTTGCCTGACAGTTTTAATAAAGCCAAGTTCATCACCTTCAGCATGCTGATGTTTTGCAGTGTTTGGTTGTGTTTTGTTCCATCATACCTGAGCACCAAAGGAAAATACATGGTGGCAGTAGAGATTTTCTCAATCTTGGCCTCTGCTGCCGGGTTACTGTGTTGTATCTTTTCCCCCAAATGCTATATTATACTTCTGAGGCCTGATCTGAACAAAAGAGAACAAATAATAGCAAGAAAACATTAAAAAAACTGAGTTATCCCATGCTTTCCCCCCTGTGGAACAAAGACAATTTGTCTAATTGGGGACATAGTGTTCCCAGTCCCCAGGTCCGGGGGGGGTTTTTCCCACTTCTGGGGGCTTCAATCTGCCCCAGTCAGTTGGTCAGCGGGGGAAGCCCCGTGCCCAAGTTCCACCCCACAGGTTGACCACCCACCCAGCCACCCTTCTCCCTCCCCTCCTTCCTGATCGAAAGGGCTTCAGCTGCTCAGCAGGTACCATGTGGATTTCCAACAATACCTTCAGAACAAGACTTAATAATGAAGATTATGGAAAGTGTGGAAATTCATCAATTGACTTTGATGCTAAGAGGGCAAATGGAAGAAGATTTCTTCGGATTATGGACTCCTTTTTATGCCTGGATAAAAAAGAAACATAAAGATACAAATATTTTGATAATATGATATGAAGGAGCATCTATGAACTCTTAAAAATTCACAGTCTATCTTTTGGTAATTTGAAATGATAAGTGGAAAAGATTTGTGTGCAGAAGAATTTGTATTTTTGTTTCCCTTTTCTTCCCTATCCCTATATAACTTTAACAATTTAATAAAGGGTATTAAAAATAAATCTAGCAGGAGAGAGGAAGAGGAGTGGTCGCAGGCCACATGGTTGGCTTGCAAAAACACCCCTTTCCTTTTGCAAACAGATTGAAATGAATCAAATCTAGGACCTTCCCATGCTGGCTGTTCTGAATGGCTTAGAGAAAAGGTGAGCTAGAGATGTGATCAAACAGGCAGAAAAAGAGCTCAAGGTAGTGATGGAAAATCTTAGGGAATGGGGAGAATGTTACAGCCATAAAGACTGGATTCAAAAGGGTCATATGAGAGAGTATCATTTGGTGCACGACCAGATCCATTCCAGACAATGTGGCCCCCACTTCCTTTCTCTCTTTATACAGACTCAGGTGGCTGCAGCCAATGGTGGTTCAAAATTGTGGCCAAGCTGCATTCAATGAACATCAGCTTTGAGTAATTCACAAGCCCATGTGTGACAGACCCCTGCTGCTTTCTTTTTCTGTGAGCCAGATTTTCCCACCAAAATGCTAAATAGCTGTTCCCCACTCTTTTTCAGCAGTCCTTTGGTAGTGTGCGGTAAAAAACAGTTTATGACTTCCTGAGGGTCCCACCCTGTGATAGAGAATATATTTGGCTTTTGCCCTGACCAAAGATTTATTGTTGATAAGCAGGAGCCCACTTGTAATTTCCTTTGTAAATGGCGACACAAAGTAAAGTTCAAACGGGAATGATAATTTTATTAAACAGGCATGGTTGGGTTAGGAATATGCAAAGGATGAGAAAACTGAGGTAAATGTTGTATTTAAAAATTATGATATTTTGAACAGGCAACAAAGTACTGTTGAAGTTCAGTTCCTTAGAGACTCAGTTCTTAACAGAGAGAGGATTGTTAATCTTGGAGATTTCTTAATAGTAACAATGTGTCCTAATAAAGATTCATATAACTATCTTAGTTTCCTGGAGAACAGTATTTTCTTCCTGTACTTATTCTCCCTCCCTGTGGGATTACAACTTTCCCTTTAACTCTAGAGAAGTCTAAAACTGTTTCGTTTTTCACACCAACCAGAGGTCCCTTCTGAGTTGCACCCACTGAATAACTGAGAAGGGAATATTCTCCTTTTCCTAGAAGCAATATTCCTTTTCTGTTTGGCTAGACTGGCAGCTTCAACCTAATGACAGTTTGGTGTAGTGGTTAAGTGCACGGACTCTAATCTGGGAGAACCGGGTTTGATTCCCCACTCCTCCACTTGCACCTGCTGATGTGGCCTTGGGTCAGTCACAAGCTCTGGCACAGCTGTCCCTGAAAAAGAGCAGTTTGTGTCAGAGCTCTCTCAGCCCCACCCACCTCACAGGGTGTCTGTTGTGGGGAGGGGAAGGGAAAGGAGTTTGTAAGCCGCTCTGAGACTCCCTTGGGGAGTGAAGGGCGGGGTATAAATCCAATCTCTTCTTCTTCTTCTTCTTCTCCTGGCAAAACTGACCCTCTGTTCTTGACCCAGTGAAATAAATGGCTTTCAGCTTGGCTGATGCTTAGACTAAAGTTCTTATTTGGAACTGTTCCTCAGATTTGATGGTACACAGGAAGAGCAAGGAATTGTGTCCCTTCACTTCACAAGTGAACCTGTCTGTTTCACTCTGACAGAGAGGCCCATTCTGCATCTAGCATTCGCTCCGTTGTTTTACCAAACCCACACTAGAACAGAAAAAGATGTGGCTCAAAACCACATTCAAATACCCAGGGCCAACACTGTACTGACTGCAGAATGGACATAAAATGGCCATAACTCTGTGCAGACAATACCATAAAACCAAGAGATCAAAGGAAGTGAAACCAGAATGCAGTGTGGAGGCTGCCATAAAATCCGACAGTCAAAGAAAGAGAAAGTGGCATGCTATGTGGAGGGGAATTTCTGTTCCAATGTGGGTTTAGTAAAACAGCAGAGTGAATGCTGAGATGCAGAATGGGCCAGGGACTAACTTCATATGTCTGGCTTCTGATACACCAGAGATGAAGCAAAATGAAAAAGACCCTTTTCCCTCAGCACTCAGCTGTTCTTTAAGTTCTCCTCAGCTGATGCTGACCAATCAGAGAGGGGGGTGCACTCAGGCAAGAGCCTGTCAATCAACCTGTGCTTCACAGTGAAGCATTAAGCTTTCACCTCCCAGCTCCCTGAATTTGATGCATTAAGTATCTTGTTTTTGGAGGTCAGTATGTCACATCAACACACTCTGTGAGAACAGATCTGCACGTCCCCTCCCATAGCTAGCAATCCAAAACAGTCCAGTGGTTGAATGGATATACAAGTGTTTGCTTTTTTAAATGGTCAGTCTTGAACATAAACATTTGCTTGAACAAAGCCAAAAAAGTTTCTTCTCCTTATTGCCTCCCATAAGAACCACTTTTCTCCCATATGTGACACCTGGACACTGACCACCTATGGGTCTGTGACATAGGGAATGGACCTATCAAGGAAGGTAAAAGGCCAAGCTGTACCATCAAACAAATGGAATGGGCAACCAGAGGTGAATCTGGATTTTACTGATTCAGATCATTGATATATCTAGTCCACTACTGCCTACTCCAGAGGGGACCACTGGATTTGCCTTTATTTCTACAGTGAATCCTTTATTGTATTCCCTTCAAAGTTGCATCTAGAGGGCCTAGTTTTCCTGTTAGTGCTTGCTACAATGGAAATTGCCTACTGTACTATTGGAAGCAGAGTAAACTCAGAGTCAGGTGTGAAAAACAAGTTCTCTGCCATAGATGGCACTTAATTACCTCAGCTGATTTTGTGCTCTCTTCCATGTAATTTTCAAAATTACTGAAATTTGTTTCCCGTGACCAGGATACAGCAAGAGGGTGAGCTAGAAAACATCATCTATCTAAGTCTTCAAGTGCTTATAAGAAGAAGAAAAAATGTCCTTCAAAACTGGGAAGATGTGTTGAGTGGTCTCCGTCACATTTTCTTTCCCACTTGAGAATGCAAACGTCATATATTTCTAGGCTGTTTGACTCTAAATAAAAGGGTGATAATATACCCTTCTGCAGGGGTATTGGCAGTCAGCCACCGTACATGATAGCTCATTCACAGGCTCAGGAGAGTCGACATCTAGATAGAAGATTTGTAGCCAGGATGTTGGTGCTAATCGTGTTGCAGCTTCTCTTGACTCCTGTGGTGGGCGACGATTTCACCCACTGCTCTGAGCGTGAGGTTCTCCATGTCCCACACAAGTGGTATCAGTCAGGGGATCTCCTAATCAGTGGGATTATGTCTCAAATGATTTATGTTCCTTTCAAGCATTCTTTCAAGACACATCCCTCATGTGACAGTTATAGAGTACAGTAAGGATTCTTTGGTGACCATCATTGGAAATCTCTAATGCTTGTCTAGAATTCATGAAGAGTTAGCAGAGCCATTGTGGGCGATCCCTGAAGAAATAATGCCCATGAGGGAGCATTAAGAAAGCATTTAGCAATTCCATTACTGATCGCAACTGGAAACTTGATATGAGCCCTTGAGGGAGCAGAGCCAGGACTGCACTATCCCATGTCACAAAGGCAAGGGACAAAGGCAGTGAAGGAATGTATCAAAAAGTCAGCGACTAGATTAGATAATGATGTTAGAGGAGTTACAAAGAAATTAAATTTGATTAATACTCATAATCGTATGATCATATTCTCATCGTTATATTCATTAATTTTGAATAGTTACATATTTTCTAGTTATTATATGATAGTATAAACCTTTTCTTTTTATTCTTTTCTTATCTTATGTTCCTTGCCTATATGCTTTTTTACCTAGCTCTATGGATAGGAAATAACGGAAATATATGATGTTGAAGTATCGGTTATCTTACCATATTTGACGTCATGTTATTTTTTTCATGTTTTATATTCCTAATTATACAGTGTCCTCAAAATGTGTTTAACAAATGATGTTTTATGCTTCTCACTTTCCCTTTGTCTTTTTTTTATTCTGTACCCCTTTAAATTATATAAATATATATATGGAAAAGACAACAAACAAGAGGAAAGCAGTTAGAATTATGTCAGAAAAATACTGTATTTTCTGGTGTATAAGACTACTTTTTAACCCAAGGAAATCTTCTAAGAAATGGGGGGGTCATCTTATACGCCGGTAAATACGGTACTCTGGTCTTTCTATCGCTTTCAGTAGTACATGCTGCGCTTTGAGCGTAGCAAACAACCGAAAAACAAAACAAGTATATCCGAAACTCTATATTTTAACTGGAAAAGTTGGGGGTCGTCTTATATGCCCAGTCGTCTTATACGCCGGAAAATACGGTACTATTGTTGAAATTTTGACGAGCAAGCTAACAACTTGGACTGCACTTTCCCTGTAGGACAGTATCAAAGAAACCATTCAGAATGGCAGGATTTAAGAATACCTTCCTGGTCTCCTAGCCCTGAGGAGGAGGAGGAAGAAGAAGAAGAGATTGGGTTTATACCCCGCCCTTCACTCCTTTCCCTTCCCCTCCCCACAACAGACACCTTGTGAGGTAGGTGGGGCTGAGAGAGCTCTTTCCAGATCTGCCCTTGAGAGAACATCTCTGAAAGAACTATGGCTTGCCAAAGGTTACCCAGCAGCTGCAAGTGGAGGAGTGGGGAATCAAACCCGGTTCTCCCAGATTAGAGTTCGCACACTTAACCACTACACCAAACTGGTTAGGATGTTTTGTGGGCCTGTCCACAAAGAATAAGATTAAGGTGCAAGAAGTTTCTGCTCTGGCTCTGAAGCTCAGTTCTACAATAGGAGTGAGGAGGGTTTTTACTTCTCTGTGCTTGGTTGCAGATTGGGAGGGGAGAAATTGGGGCTGAAGAATCCACACTTGATAGCGCGCACACACATACACACACAACCTCATGTAGTTTCACACACCCTTCAGGAAATTTGTGTGTTCTATTTACTAGAACTAGAGGAAGAACTTTTTATTTCATACGACTTAACTCCCACACTGGAACCTTTGCCCTTTAAATATTCATCCCTAATTTTTTTAAAAACAAAAGTAATCTGAAGCAATGCTCTCTCTAAGCTGTGGAGTCTTGTGAGCAAGAATTCTACTTTGTGAGCTACCAGCATTCCAGTTGTGAGTGAGCAATTTGGCTACTGCACACATTAGTTTACTCTGGAGCCATCCTTCCTGAGCCAAGAGAAAAATGTGTGAGCTGGAGGCTAAAAAACTGTGAGCTAGCCCATACTAACTCAGCTTAGAGGGAACATTGGTCTGAAGTAGTAGTAGCCAAAGGTCTACTGAAGCTTTTTTAATGGCAAATAAATCTTTAGTCATTTGTAAAATGATAAAGAAAAAAATGCATCAGCCCATATTGCACTTTACCCCCGTTAGCATCAATTCACTGGTAACATTGTTTGGCAGAGACTATGGCTGTGGTCACACACACTAAATAATCCACTTTCAACGCACTTTCCAGATGGATTTTTACTGTGTGAACTGGCAAAATCCAATTCAAAAGTGCACTGAAAATGGACTGGAGGTGGATTATTTAGTATGTGTGACTGCAGGCCAGGAAGCAGAGGAAATAGTAAGGACCCCTTGAATTCTGCTATTTTGTGAGATGTGTCTCTGGTATCCTGAGAAATATCTAGCAACATCTCTAGAGATCACCCTTCATTTATTTTGTTACAAGGTAAAGTACAGTAATTCTAGGAAAAATTAATGAACATCGAGGGAGAGAGGTTCATGGAAATCTTTCCTTAGATATTTTTTTAAACTCCATTCTCAACCACTCTTAGCTGAGATCCAGTTTGGTGTAGTGGTTAAACAGCAGTGGAATCTAATCTGGAGAACCAAGTTTGATTCTGTGCTCCTCCACATGCAGCCAGCTGAGTAACCATGGGTCAGTCACAGTTCCCTCAAAGCTGTTCTCTCAAGTGCAGTTCTTTCAGAGCTCTCTCAACCCACCTACCTCACAGGGTGTCTGTTGTGGGGAGAGAAAAGGAAGGAGTTTGTAAGCCACTCTGAGACTCTGAGTGCAGGGTGGGGTATAAATCCAACTCTTCTTCTTCCCTCTTAAATATTACTAGCGTTGCAAGGGAAGTTAGATTACCTCAGAAACATGACACAGATTTTTTTTAAAAAAATTACCTTACTGACAGACAAGTGAACCATTGATAGCCCAAAAGGACCAGAAGTGTGATAAAACCACTTTATTCCATGTCAAATGTGTTTGTGAAAGCATATAAAACTCTCTTTGCAGTGTGCTGACAAAATGCTACCAGCATGCTTTCGCCTTGGTGTTTGCCATAAAAGAGATAAATGATAATCCCAAGATTTTGTCCAACTTCACCATTGGATTCCATATCTATGACAGCTACTATTATGAGAGGATGACCTATCGCGCCACTCTGGACCTGCTCTTCAAATCACACAGATTAGTTCCTAACTACAAGTGTTCAGCCTCGAAGAAACTAGTCACTGTGATTGAAGGACTTAGCTCTGATATCTCCAACTGTATTTCAGACATCTTAAATCTCTACAAAATTCCACAGGTGGGAGCTATGAATGGGTGGCTGGATTTTCACCTGCCGTATCCATTATTCCCTTTTTACTGCCATCACATACTAGTTTTCTGGTTCAGAAACATGATGTTATGTGATGAGATATCATACACTGAAAGAATGTATATTATAGATGTACAGAACTGGGCAGATTGTCTTCAGTTAGGAAGAGAGGACAAGAAACAGAGTATATACTATCCCAGCGTGTTTTTCAGAAATGTCATGGTATTTCAAAATTTCAGTTTGTAGAATACATGGCAAACCAGCTCTGTAGAGTACAATCTGGAATTGAGGTTGACAAACAGCCCTTGAAGAGAAGGAAGAACACTAATTCGAACACTCCTTTACTATGAACATTTATTTCAGTTCTCATTTAGGTCATTTGCTCCAGAAGAGAGGAAATCAGTCCAGTCTCTGTTATCTTACCATGTGGCCCCTGAAGAAACCCATCAGTACACAGGGATTATCTGGTTACTTAAGCATTTCCAATGGACATGGGTTGGACTTTTTGCAGTGGATGATGACCGTGGAGAACATTTCACAAAGGCCCTGGAACCGTTGCTTTCACAGCATGGAATCTGTCCAGCCTTCCTACAATGGGTGCCACAAAAAAGGCGTGTCAATGACTGGATTGAAATGAATAACATTTTCTCAAAGGTTTATCTACTTTTCAAATTGAGCAATGCCAGGATATATATTGTCTATGGAGATACTCATACCATGATATTTATGTTCATTGTAACGTGTTCGTTAAATGAGGAATATAAGGAACTCACATCTGTTGGTAAGGTGTGGATTACTACAAGTCAGGTTGATTTTGCTGTATCAGATCTGGAGAGGGGTTTAGATCTGACCATTTTCCATGGCACTATTTCCTTGACAATGCATTCACAGAAGCATCTCAAGTTTGAGAAATTTCTTCAGAGCATGAAATCCTTCAGAACATTAGACAATGGATTTTTCAAAGACTTCTGGGAACATGCCTTTGAATGTGTGTTTTCTAGTTTTGCAGTGAAGAGCCCTAAATGTACTGGAAAGGAGAGACTGGAGAGTCTTCCTGGTCCTGTTTTTGAAATGAGCATGACTGGGCACAGCTATGGCATCTACAATGCCGTCTATGCTGTGGCACATGCTTTGCATACCATGTACTCCTCCCAATCCAATGATCAGTCAGTTTTAGGAGGCAGAAATACTGAGTTCCATGATGCTCAGCCTTGGCAGGTAACATGAACACAATGTGTGTCTGGGCAAAGAGGGGGTGTGTGTCTTGCTAGCTGGCAATATATTTTGACTGGTGTGTTTCGACTTGCACATTAAAGTATTTATTTATTTATTTTACGTTTATACCCCACCCTCCCCAATGGGCTCAGGGTGGCTTACAGAGGCAAGGCAGAACCTTCCCATAATAAAAACATCATATACATAATAATATAAAACATATAATACATTTTAAAATATCCTCAGTTAAAACATGGTGCTCAATGTTTCCGTCAGTCCAAAGATGGCAGATCGTAGATCCGAAGTTCCGAGTAGTACTTCCCACGGCTTAGGGCTTCTTCAATATTCAGATGTTTTAACATACCTTATCTTTATTGGTTCAATAGTCGTGGTAACACTGGCGGCTTGGCGCAATATGGTGCTGCCTCAAATTGAACCGATTTAAATTGTTGCTGGGCATATCCACCACACAGCACACCTTGTTGTGGGTTACTCATGGAGGCATCCCATGGTAAAGCATCCACATGGTTGCAGTGCCTCAGCCATGGAGTGCACTGCGGAAAAAAAATAAAATTCATGTACGTGCATAAGTGTGCATATGTGCACACATGCGCTCATGTGCATACACACATGCACATATAGGCAATTAAAAAAACCCCTCCCTAGTTGTAGAAAGGAACTGCAGGTTCAGACTGCCAAATCCATTCTGTGTTTGCTCCCCCACGTTCAGGCATCCGGCCATGTGCAATGACTGCGCTGGTAACCAAAAACACCACTTCTGATGTGGTGTCTTTTTAACCCAGCTCCCAGTCATCCTATGATGGGATATGTGTGGCTGGGGGACACTTAACAGATGTGGCTGTCTGACTGTGCCCATTTGATTCAGAGGGGAGGGGGGGCTGTGTCGGGCCAAACCGCTCGTGTGATCATGGTCCCCCCCCATCTGTGATCGTATATTTTATTGTATATTATATCATTGTTACTCATCTGGAAACTTGAGTTGTTCAAGAGAAAGAGAGAGAGAGAGAGATAGTCTTTTTTGCCATGATATGAGTTGTACTATTTTGAAATATCTCTTGCATTAATATCTGGTTCTTTACATTATTCATTGACCAATTTTCATGGGTTCACATTTTCTGCTATCTGGAACTTGAAATATTTGAAAATATAATAGGTCAGCAGTGAGATATCTTCTGTTACTTGATTTTCAGGCAGAGTCTATATGGAGCTGTTCAGAAGTATATTAGCAGCAAGGGAAGATGTTTGCAGTCCTGAGTATGAATTATCACAGATGTTGCTTTATTTGCATGTCTTTTGTTTCTTTCAATTAGCTGCACCAGTTTCTGCAAGGAATATCATTTAACAACTCAGCTGGAGAAACAATATCTTTGGACGAGAATAGGGAAATGGGAGGTGGATTTGACATCCTGAACATGGTCTCCTTTCCTAACAACTCCATCATTAGAATAAAAGTTGGAAGGGTGGATCCCAAGGCTCCTGAAGGGAAGGAAGTCACCCTTCAAGAGGATTTACTTGTGTGGAGCAAGGTGTTTAATCAGGTATGGATTCTAGAGTGTTTCAAAAGGCAGCTTCTTTCTAAGTGTCAGTTAACCAGGGAGAAGGGGGATGGTAGCCACATCCTTTTGAGCATAATTGGACAACATAACGGTTGATCAATACCTGTAATGAACTCAGTGCCATCAGATGCTAAACAAACAAATTGGCTGCGATCATACACACTAAATAATCCACTTTCAAAATCCACTTTCAATCCACTTTCCAACTGGATTTTGCCAGTTCACACAGTAAAAAAATCCAGTTTGAAAGTGGTTTGGAAGTGGATTATTTAGTGTGTGTTACTGCAGCCAAAGGTATCAATTGTCTCTGTTCCTGTTAACACAGGATCTTAGATCTTTAAGCACACTTGCTTATAATTCTGATCATGAAGCACACTTGTTCATAAATCCAAAGAATCTTAGGTAAGAAAAAAAAAGTAGATCTTTTGTTCCATGTTAGAGCAGTCACTATATTGCTTATCAGAGAATTCCAGAAACGGTGAAGAAATATCAAAGCTACAAGGCTGGATTCTAACAGTGTTGATCCTAAGCAGAACCACAACGTTCCATTGACTAGATTCCATTGACTTAATTTGATCTAGATGGCGTAGACTGTGCTTAGGATTCCGTTGCAAATCTTTGAAAATTTTGCAAATTTGGACATAACTTCCTAGCATATTTGGGGAAGAGAAGGCGAAAAACTAGGCAATTTTAAAAGAGATTGTCATTTTATTGGTAGTTGCATTTCAAAGCTTGCAGATATTAGCAGGAGTCCCTTTATTGTCACATGGAAAATCGGGTTCTTTTCCCCTGAGTTGCACATTTGTCTCTAACATTGCTTTTTTTCTTTAAAGTTTTTTATTTGCAATTAACATTCATTAGACTCTAAGGTGCCATAAGCTTCTATCTTCTTGAACAGACTCTGCCTGTTTCAAGATGTAGAGACTCCTGTCACCCCAGTTATATGAAAAGAAAGAAAGAAGGGGAGAAATTTTGCTGCTATGAATGTGTTCCTTGCCCAGAGGGGAAGATTTCGATCCAGAAGGGTAGGTGACTGTGCCTTAAGAACATAAGAAAAGCCCTGCTGTATCAGACCAGAGGTCCCTGTAGTCCAGCATCCTGTCTCATATAGTGGTTAACCAGTTCCTCTGGAGGGTCAACAACAGGGTGTAGAGGCCAAGGCCTTCCCCTGATGTTTCCTCTTGGCTGTGGGATTCAGAGGATTGGTGCCTCTGAATATTGAGGTTCCCCTCAGTCACCATGGCTAGCAGCCATTGATAGTCATATCTTTCATGAATCAATCTTATCCCCTTTGAAAGCTGTTTATTCCTGTGGCCATTACTCCATCCTCTGGCAGTGAATTCAACATCTTAATCACTCCCTGTGTAAAGAAGTATTTCCTTTTGTCCATCTTGAACCTACTGCCAATCAGTTTCATTGTATGCCCTCGCGTTCTAGTATTTTGGGAGAGAGAGAAAAAAAATCTCTCTGTCAACTCTCTCCATCCCATTCATAACTGTATACACCTCTATCATGTTCCCCCCTTAGTCGTCTCATTTATAAACTGAAAAGTCCCAGACACTTCAGCCTTTCCTCCTAGGGAAAGTGCTCCAACCCCCTAAACATATTAGTTGCCCCCCTCGGTACTTTCCCCAGCTCTGCAGTGTCCTTTTTGAGATATTTATTTATTTATTTTATTCAATTCATACCTCGCCCTCCCCGCCAGGGGACTAGAACTGTACATAGTAATGTGGCCACACCATAGATCTATACAGGGGCATTACAATATCGGTTGTTTTATTCTCAACCCCTTTCCTAATAATCTCTAACACAGAGTTTGCCTTTTTCACTGCCACAGCACACCAGATTGACACTTTCACTGAGCTATCCAAGATCTATCCAAGATCTTTTCCCCTCTCAATCTCAGCAAGTTCAGATCTCATTAGTCTATACTTGAAGCAGGGAGTGTTGTTGTTTTTTGTCCCGATGTGCATCACTTTACACTTACCAACACTGAACTTCATGTGCCACATTGTCACCCACTCGCCCAGCTGATGGAGGTCATTCCACAAACGCTTTCCTCAACACCTTTGCAAACACACACACACACACAAACAGGATTAAAACCAGAAGAGATGGAATTGAGGCAAACATTAAACTTTGGGGGAAGTTGGTAGAATACGCACACTTGCTATGCATTAAGAACACCTCAGTTCAGTCAGTAACATCTCGAAATGAAATGATCTGAGGCAACATAGCTAGGAAAAGTAACTTGTCTGTTCCAGATTCAGGTGGGTAGCCATGCTAGTTTGAAGCAATGTCTCTGAAGAAGTGTGCATGCACAGGAAAACTTATACACAGAATTAAACTTTGTTGGTCCTGGGCCCCTGCCACACGGGGGTGGGAGGGCGGGATATAAATGCGATAAATAAATAAATAAATGAGTTACCGCACCAAAAGAAACCTGCGGTGGAGGGATCACATAGATCCCCTGAGCTGCCGCACAGTTCCTCCCTGGCACGATCAGATGCCAGGGGGAAGCTACTGAAGGGAGAGCAAGACTGCCAAACTGTGCATGTGTGCACGTGTGCAGTTCAGCCAGGAGTCTGGATTGCTCCGGACGACGGGTGCGGCGGCGATCCCACAGCCACGCTTGCTGCGGTGCTTCAGGTAAGTCCTCCTCTGTAAGAGGTTCTTTTTTTCAGCGGCTTTTCCGGGTTTAGGGATGGATTGGGGACGGGTGCGCGCCGCTTCCCAGATGTTGCGGTGAGATTCCGCCCATTTGCTGCGCCCCCGGTCCGTCCCTCTCCCGGGCCAAAATCTTCCGTGTGACCAGGGCCTTAGGATGCCACTGGGCTCAAACTTTGTTTATTACAGATATCTAGATAATATTAAAATATATCTGTAGGTGATACTCCCTAGCACACAGAATCAGTTGCTGGAATTCAGCATGAATAATTTCTCACGTATTGAAGGAGGGGCAAGAAAATCAGCCCTCGATTTCATATACATGGACACTGAGATGGTCGCTCTTTCTTTTTTCAGACATGGATGACTGTTCTTCATGTCCAGAAGATCAATATCCAAGCCAGGATCAAGATCACTGCATTCCCAAGATGATACAATTTCTCTCCTATGAAGAACCAATGGGGATCTGTTTGGCTTCGGTTGCTGTTTCTTTCTCCTTGATCACAGTTTTGATATTAAGAATTTTTATAAAGTTCAAAAACACTCCCATTGTCAAAGCCAGCAACCAGGATGTCACTTATACTCTCCTTATCTCTCTCCTGCTTTGCTTCCTCTGTGCATTCCTCTTCCTTGGAAGGCCAAGGAAGGTGACCTGCTTCTTCAGACAATTTGCTTTTGGCATCACCTTTTCTGTGAGTGTTTCTTGTGTCTTGGCCAAAACCATCAATGTGGTTCTGGCTTTCATGGCCAACAAGCCAGGGTCCAGTATGAGGAAGTGGATGGGGAAAAGACTGACCAACTCTACTGTCATTTCCTGCTCCATTATCCAAATGTGTATCTGTACCGTGTGGCTAGGAACCACTCCCCCATTCCCAGATTTGGACACAAAGTCAATGGCCACAGAGGTCATAGCAGAATGCAATGAAGGGTCTGTGGTGATGTTTTATATTGTACTGGCCTATATGGGTCTTCTGTCCTCCATAAGTTTTAGTGTGGCTTTCTTTGCCAGGAAGTTGCCAGACAGTTTTAACGAAGCCAAATTCATCACCTTCAGCATGCTGATGTTTTGCAGTGTTTGGCTGTGTTTTGTCCCAACCTACCTGAGCACCAAAGGGAAATATATGGTAGCAGTAGAGATTTTCTCTATCTTGGCCTCCGGTGCTGCATTACTGTGTTGTATCTTTTTCCCCAAATGCTACATTATTGTTCTGAGGCCTGAGATGAACAGAAGAGAACAAGTGATAACAAAAAAGCATTAAAGAATCAAGTTATACCATGCCTTTCTCCTGTAGAATAATGACAAAAGGTCCAGTCTTGACCTTTGCTTGAGCTACTATTTGTGCAGTCGTGCTTTCCTGTGATATGTTCCATTATGTGATGACTTACTAGATTTTTGATATAGTTTATTTTATTATGTTGTGAAACACAATCGGTATATTTTCATGGACAGACTGTACATAAATATTTTAAATAGTACAAGTATAATAAATAATTTCAAACACTAAATGGAGAATGCAATTAGTTGTTTGGCCCTAAGCCCTTCAATCCATGCATTGCAATGCAGTTGTCTATGTGTTACGTTTTCATGCAGTCCAATTTAATTCCCGTATCCTCCATCCTTCCTGCATTTTTTTCAGCAGGCAATTGTCTGAATCTATTCTGGATAGAATATTGGATCACTCTAATTAGTAAGATCATTCATAAATAAATGTTATATTTCAAAAAGTAGTTCGTAGTGACGCTAATGGCTGCTGACAAGTCTGAATCAGCGGAGACTTGCATATGTGCAGTTCTGCAAAAGAATAATGCAAGCCAGTTTAGTAGACATTTGCAGCTGCTTGGTATGGATGAAACCGACTGAGTCATCAGCTCACATCTCATCACCACCTTCGAGCAAAGCGGGTTCACCTGTCGAACATATATTTGTGTGAATTTTGTAGAATCGTTACATCTAACTCTATCTCTTTACAGAAGGGCATTTGGCAGGATGCCTGCTAGCTCCATTGTTGTTTAATTTATATGTAAAAGTTAGGGCATCCTTTTTGAGAAACCCCAAATGTCATTATCCTATGTCGGCTAACACCCAATATCAGTGATATTATATGGTGATAATGTACTTCTGTTAGCTAGATCTCCTGTGCATCTCCCCGGTGACTGCTGAGGGCCTTCTTGGAATATCGTAATGCAGAAGCACCGCCAATTAACTAAGAGAAATCTAAGGTGATGGTGTTTTCTAAATCTAATCACCCAAAGAGGTATAACTGACAAGTTAATGGGAAACCCATTGAGCAAATTACCCAGTTTTGTTACTTAGGAATTCACTTCCAAGCTAATTTGGCCCGGAGGGCCCATCTTAAGGATGCTTATAGCAAGGCCTCAGTCACAAAAAAGGCCATTTTTTACAGCAAAGATGGCCAGTTTGTTCCTGCTGTTATTTCAGTTTTTAATGCCGAAGTAGGTGGTCAGTTTCTCTCCAGAGCTTCAGTACTTATTAAGGCCTGCAGAGAGACACTAGATTCCCCTTTGTCATTATTTTTGTAGATCACAAGGATGCCAAGTTGTGTGGCTAATGTTTCTTTAAGGGTGAAACCTGGCTTACAATTTCTGGAAGTGTGAGCATGAGTAAGGGTCTTTGACTGAAATTTTTACTTGCCACAAAAGCTTATGTCTATTAAAATCTCCTGGAGCTCCCTGCTGGTGCCCGCTGGAGGTCGCCGCCGGCTGTGGGGAGGACACACTTCCGGTGATGTCAGGGGGTGTGGCATATGCTGATGAGTTATGCTAATGAGTCCCCCTAGCTCTTTTTCTACAAAATGACCCCTGCTTATGTCTATTAAAATCTGATTCTTATGCTACCCCATGGAGGAAATTAATGGAGAATAGACTCCAACTCCTGAGTTTTTAGTGGTAGTGGTAGTAGTAGTGATCAGGAGATACTGGGAAGATCAGCAGCACACTCTGTGGTGATTACCCATCTGTATAACTTGGACTTCATCAATACCACAAAGAGACTGCAACATATGTAGAATGTTGCAGCTCATTTATTATCATGGGATACATGAAGTATGCATATTACTCCTCTTCTGCAGTCTCTCCATTGGCTGCCCATCAGTAAGAGAACTAAACTCATGAAGTTGACTATCACATACAAAGCCCTTTGCCCTGGGTCCATCCTCTCCATGGAACAGCCTCTGCCCCTATGTTCCATCACAAAAGCAAACAGGGAAAATGCACAGTACAGAATAGCCAAGAAACAAAAATAACTGTGTATAGAAATATCAAAAGTGTATGCAAAATACTTTTTTATATGAAGTGTCACAAGGAACTTATAATTACAACAATATTATGGCAATTGTTCTCTTCAAATAATGTAAACCACCCAGTACATGAAAACAGTCCAAAGTAATCCAAAATATACAGAAGTGCTGCAGATAAAGACCATTAGAACATAGACACTTTGTCAGCCCAGTGTCTTCAGGGATCAGTTCTCATTGCACTTTTGTCATAAAATGTCGGTTCAAGGCTTGCTGCTTTTACAGGTTGCTGGCTCTCTACTCATGTTTCACACAAGGCTTTTGCAAAAGCCAAGCCAAGAGTCTCCGGATTTACTTTAGAATAATGCTTTCAACGAGCTTCTCTATCTTTACTGTTGATATGGGAGACAGAGGTCCCCGTTGAAAGCGTTATTCTAGAGTAAATTGGGAGACTCTTGGCTTGGCTTTTGCAAAAGCCTTGTGCGAAATGCAAGTAGAGAGCCGGCAGATTTGCTTATCTGAACACAACCATTTGCAGTTTCTCTTCTTCACGTGGTCAAAATTGACAGCCACCCATGCATGTGCATTCTCTGCTTTGTACAATGACCTGCCTAATGAGATCAGGAAGGTTCCCACAATCCTGGCTTTCTACGTCCTATGCAAACTGATTTATTCAAGACAGCTTTTTTATACATGTCATAGGGCTACAGTACAGTGAAAAGTTTCAAGAAACAGCCTCTTTCTAGATCTCGTTGTATTGCTTTCACAATGGGCTTTACTGCTAGTATTTTAATAAAGGGATAGGGACTGAGACTGTGCACAGTACATTCTGTCTGTTGCAGTAAGTGTCATACTCCTATGTAACTTCCACATTGCTCAATGTCGTGTTAATGTGCATGCTTTGTTTCACCTCTGGTTTCAGATTTCTGCTCATTTTCAGAGTTTTGTAATCCAAACGTGATTGTGTTATTCACTGGATGTCCCACTGATTTGTGCTGTGTGACCCATATCAAGTGTCAGTGACAAAGGCAGGGTATTAATGATATATATATATATACATAGCTGAACAAATGACCTGGAAAATCGGGATGCTATTGACTGAGATTGTATATGGAACCCAGTACTAGCTATTCCAAAGAGGACCATGGGAGTTTGGTGCAGGCCATTTCAGTGATGAGCACTACACTGATTGAGTGATTGATTTAGAATATTATTATCCCCCCACCGATCAGCAATCCACTTGTACCTTGGCTGACAAGTAAGGAGGCACAGAATCTAATGCCATGCACTTGGGAGTAGTCTCTTGACAATGTAAATAAATAAAGAGGGGGACAAATTACCCAGTAAAGCTGAAGGTACTGATTGAGATTGTGTATCTAGCTCAGCATCGGCTATTCCAAAGGGGACTACTGGAGCTTGGTGTTGGCCATGTCAACATTGCACCTTGCGGTTATTATTTCTCAGGCACCAGCTCTCCAGTAACATTTTTACTGTAGCTGTAGAAAAGGAAAACAAAGAAACAATCAAGTCACATACACCACTGAAAGAAACCTGTTTCTTAGTTGTTCTCACCACCTCCTATGTGGTTCCTTCAAGCCTATAATTCCTTCATAACAGGGCAATTGACTCTCAGGCTTCACCCTGAGTCTAGGCATTTCCTTCACTGACAACTAGAAGACAAAGTGGTACCCAAAGCCTCAATTATAAAAGAAAATAATTTTAAGAAGAAGTTTGTAAAGTGTGAAATTTAAACTACTACTTTCTGGGTTGAGGTTTGGAGACCTAGACTTAAAATGGTGTTGTCGCATCCTTCAAGCCATTTGTTAAGGAAGATCCAGTGGCATGCATACTCATCAATGATGGAGTGACCAGAGATGACAGGTCAGTCAGATGGATTCCCCAGATTAATTGTAATTTGAGACTCAATTGGACAGATTGCAGAAAGGAATCCTGGAGGGGGGGAAACTTTTGAATGGAATTCAGCAATTCTTTAAATGTTAAATTTTATGCATGTCTGTATCTATAAAGAAGGCACTCACTGGAAGCAGTACAATTCAAGTTCTTGTGATCAATCCTTGGAGTTCCACAATGCATCTCAAATGCCCTCCTTAGATTAGAGTCTGCTACAATCTCTTTGGAGACCCATATGTGGCTCTTTGCAGTCACCTACTGGTTAAAACTTGCTTCCAATCCATTGGGCCTAGCCCTCTTGACCCCTGATGATAGCCACTGATCAGCTTGGCAAACTGCAATAGAGGGAAAACTTCAAGAGACCGGCCTCCCCCCCCCCAAGTCTTATTAGCCAGTTTGGTGTAGTGCTTAAGTGTGCAGATTCTAATCTGGGAGAACCGGGTTTGATTCCCCACTCCTCCACTTGCACCTGCTGGATGACCTTTGGCAAGCCATAATTCCAGCACAGCTGTTCTTGAAAAAGAGCTGTTTCTGTCAGAGTTCTCTCAGCCCCACCTACCTCACGAGGTGTCTGTTGTGGGGAGGGGAAGGGAAAGGAGTTTGTAAGCAACTCTGAGACTCCTTTGGGTAGTGAAGGGTGGGGTACAAATCCAAACTCTTCTTCTCTTCTTCTTATGTCTTGGGAGCCAAAAAGCTAAAGAAACAGTATCTCTGGGATCAAGCTCTACAATTGGACAGAGCACAGACATGGAAACATTCAACGATTCTCTGATACACTAAATGTTTACAAGCAGTAGATTACCTCATATTCCTCACGATCTCCAAATATCAAAGAATCTTTACTGTTGCACACTTTAACATTCTACCTTCAGCCCTCCTGGAAGGCAGATCCCATTGTGTCCTACTCTCTCAATGGTTCTGCCCATGTCATGCAGTGAAAATATTCAACAAGGTTATTCAACACATTCTGCTGCACTGCCCATTTTACAATGATATCTGCTCTCAATATACAGTCCAATACTTTCGACTTTCCCAGGAAGATGTGAACAACTATATGTCTCTCTCCATCTTGTAGACGTTTCCCAGGAGAAAACTATTAAAGTTGCAAAATTTTGCACTCAGGCATATGGGATATGCAAACACCTTCCTGAAGTCCAGAAATAGCCTCTCCTTTGGAGGAAAGTACCTCTTTGCCACTCCATAATTTGTGCTCAATTTTAAGTATCCATTGCACTGCATGGTCCCCTTACCGTTTTATCCCTATCTTCTATTCCTCCCCCCATTTCTTCTCTTGTTATTATTGCTGATTCTTTAGAGCTGATTTTGTATTGAAATAAACAATTGAGTACAAAGTTTTGATTTTAAATTCTTTATTTTCCAGCATCATATGCAGATTTTCCTATTTTCTACTGCTTTTGTTATCTATTAGCAACACTTTTCTGTAAATGCCTCATGAAGAAAGTCCTCCTGGATTATTATCCATTAGCAAATATCCTTCAATTGGAACTGAATTAGCTCCAGGGTCTCCTGAACTAGACAAACTTTTAGCAACAACAACAAAAATCACAAAATGCAACATTTATTTATTTACTCTTCGTGTCTTCCACAAAGCAAGAACCAAGGCACCTGCAATAAAAGATGCACTGATGAGAAGAGAAATCACAATAAAAAACCAGTAAAAATAAAACTTAATAGAAAATGTGGCTCCCAACGATGCTGAAATTAGTACCACTGCTTAATGGGATGCATATGTGCTGTGGAAAGAAAACCATAGATAGGGTGAATCAGTGATCCAAGAAGACTCCACTTCTCAGAGACATTCTATTCTAATGTGTGCTAACTTATCTTTCAATTACTGTAGAAAACAAATTACACTTGTGATCTTTGTGTGTTGCCCCTTATTAATATTTCCCTTTTGTTTAATTCAGGCCTCAACAGAATTATAAAGCATTTAGGGAAAAAAATGAAACTCAGTAGCCCAGCACTAGAAGCTAAGATAGAGAAGATCTCCACAGCCACCATGTATTTTCCCTTTGTGCTCAAGTAGGCTGGAACAAAGGATAACCACACACTGCAAAAGACCAGCATGCTGAAGGTGATGAATTTGGCTTCATTGAAAGCATCGGGGAGTTTCCTAGCAAAGAAAGCCACAGTGAAGCTCAAAAGGGCCAGGAATCCCATGTAAGCCAAGACACAGCAAAACAGGATCACAGACCCTTCATTACATTCTAGGACAATTTCTTCAGTCACAGAGTGCATGTCAGCATCCGGGAATGGAGGAGACATGGCTAGCCAGAAAGTACAAATGCCCGCTTGTATGAGGGAACAGGAAAACACAGTTGAATTGGCCAGACTTTCACGCACCCATTTCCTCTTCCTGGATCCTGGCCTGGTGGCCATGAAAGCCAGCACCACAGTTATAGTTTTGGCCAGCACACAAGAAATAGCCACTGAAAAAATGGTGCCGAAGGCAGTTTGGCGGAGGAGACAGGTCACGTTCTCTGGGCGGCCAATGAACAGCAAAGTGCAAAGGAAGCAGAGCAGAAGAGAGATGAGAAGAATGTAGGTGAGGCTCCGATTGTTGGCTTTGACGATGGGAGTACTTTGAAATTTCTTAAATATTCTGAGAATCAGAGAAGTGATCATGGAGAACGAAAGAGCTAAAAAAGCTAAACTCATCCCCAACAGTTCTTCGTACGAAAGAAAGCTGATGTTCTTGGGAATACACAAATCCTGGTTTTTGCTCGGATACTTTTCCTCTGAACACTGATAGCAATCATCAAGGTCTGAAAATGAAAAGGTGTTTTTTATGCATACTTAAGCGAATTCTCATAACTCATATGAAAATTTGTTCGCTATTCTTTATGCAGTTTCAAGGTTTTTCACTCAAAGAACGGAAAGCTTTGTTCAGTATTGGTCCTCTGAACTGTAGCAGAGATGTGAGGATAAGAATAGTCATGTATTACACAGCGATCTTTCACAGCCTGATCAAGTTAAAACTTTGTAAACAAAAGTAGTAATGACAAAAGAAACAGAGATCAAAGAGCCCCACTTAATTGTGTCTAGTGTTCTACCCTATTCAAGGAATTAGTCCACCTTTTCCATCCTAGATTCTAACCAGCTTTCAAAGAGACACCATATTGAACTACACAGTGGTGCTTAAATTGCATCAGTAGAAATGTCCACCATTATGTCATCAGGATAGGGTCTACGGTGACTGAATTATCATCAGATTACCTGCTTCTTAGCAGCTTTCACCCACTCCATCCCCATGGAACTTTCAATCGAAGTTCAAAACCTGAATAAGGTAGCCATGATATTTACATTGTTCATACCTTTCCGGTCTGAGTCTATATAACAAACAGTGTCCCTCGAGGAAGCACAAAATCATTTTTGGCAGGGAATGGAAAAAGTGCTTTTAATAGATAGGGTATAGGCGCAAAATGTAATGGTATTGGGGCTAAATTTTTAGAAGTTTGTGAAACATGAAACATATTTCATCTATTTAAATTAGGTTAGCCTCCTCATCCCCCATTAATTCTTCTTTTTTTGGTTTATTTCTTGGTTTCTCTCTTCCATCATGTTTATCCCTCCCTGTCTCACCTACACTGTTTAGGGCCAAGGAAGAGAGTGGGTTTATAGGAGGGAAAGGGTTACTCGATATTAAGTGCTGTATCGTATATATTGGGGGGAAATGAAAGAAAAATGAAATTTTCCCCTAGTAAACTGAGGATGCTACTTCCCCTTTTTTTGTTCTTCTGAGAGTCATGTTGTTTCCATGACTATTTAATTCTAGGGAGATATATGAGTTGGGGTTTATTTCATACATAACAACAATAAATAAATATATTTCTTACCCTTTTGGTCCGAGATCATTCCATACGGACATCGCAGGCATTTATAACAACAAAACGGTTCCCCCTCCTTCACTATCTTGCTATAGCCAGGATAGCAATTCTTACTACATACAGAACTTGGCTGTGTCTAATGAGCAAAGGACAGATTAGAGGGATTGTTTAGACAGGAATTTGTTCTTCCATGTGTTCATTTGTTTAAGATACACTAATGCACAACTACCTACTATTCCACCACAGTCATATTTGAAATGCTGGAATCATGTTGGTTGGGCTACCTATCAATTCATAAACTATTTATGAAGTACGCATAACAAGCAATAATGTTTCCATTATAAGGTGATAATTTAAAAAGCTGTACATGGTCAATGACAAATTACTGAATCCTCATCTGTTACATCACTGGAATCACTAAGTTTCTGCTTAAGAGTGAGTGGTGAACAAAACATTCTGTGGTTTCATCCTGTGATGCATCAGTAAGAATGGAAATGCTTGGATAATCTATGTTGTCCCGAGTAAAAATAATTAATCAATTATTTTATGTAGGTTAATTATTTATTATCTTGTTTTTTTTATTTTTGTCACAAGCTGCCTTGAACCACAAGGAATGGCAAGATATAACTGTTTAAATAAATTAACTAATATGAAATAAACAGTAATGTTCATATGAGTTAATCATCTAACTATTCCAAATAATAAAGACCTAATTAAAATACACAGATGTTCCAGAAGAAAAGACTGGAACTTCCGTTGCTCTATCAGTTCCCACCAAATTAAACCAAATATTGTTTTATAACAGCCCATTACTGTTTTCTAGTTGCTCGCTACGGTCCAGTGAAATTTCTTTGCACAACAAAGGAGGCATCAAGTGAGCTTTTTCACTCATTCTCACCCAGTTCTCCTCATTGCTATCGTTCTGGTGCCATATGGCTTTTGTTCACACAGTTACCATCAAGCCCCTAATAGCTTTTTGGGGGTGGTCA